TCTCATCGATACCAGTACAACCTTTATAAGGACCCTATAGGCAGCAACTGGCCGAAGTTGCGAGTGATTTAGAGCCCATTCAGGCTCAAAAACAGTCGGTTTCCATGGACTTCTTTTTCACTCCATTTTTGGCATTCCCAGAGGCGTTCAGGAAAAATGAACACCAGTTTGGTACTCCATGCACGTGACCCCACATCATGCAAAAAACCGTTTTCAAAAAGCGCTCCACGTCCTGAACGACCTCCCTAGTAAGTGGGCTATCGTGTAGGGCTTCTCTACAAAACAGTATAAAACCCAATGGCAAAATATCACAGGATCGGCTTCCAAATAAGTTCTCATCTTTATATTTCGAGCGAGAAAAAAAATACCATTACCTATGGGCCGACCCAACAGGAGGCTGTCAAACAGCTACCGATATTCCAGATTCCAACAAAGTAGTTTTCGCGGATAGGCCTATATCCTGAGGCAATCAACATCGGTGCTCCGGCGCGGCTAAACTTCACAGACCTTCTGCCTCTTACGGCGAGCACCCTGCACGACTCTACCGCCTACTGCCTCCGCCGTACCACCCCGACTGAGATCTGGACCTTACCGTTACATACTCCGTGGGTCCTCTACTCCGCCAGTTTTTATTCCTGGCCTCTCTGCGCAGCACTTAGCGATTCTTCGAACCGTCCACTGCTTGGGTCCTAGTAAGGATGTTTTCTGTTATTTTAGCTACTTTGCTTCACTGATAAGTCAGCTAGACATCCACTGATTCGTACTTGTATCCTACTGCCCAGGAATTGCAATTGTGTTTCCAAGCAACGCTGAAACATTCTGTATTCCTTAATTGATGTTCCACATGTGGCAGCTCCGAAAACGACAGCGGCATCGACTCACTACGACAGAACTATTCTCCATTCATAAACAATGGAATACGGAAGAAATGCAATGAAAGCGGCGGCCGCAAGGACGGCAGACGTATCAAACAGGTGACTCAGCCTTAATACAGTGAATATTTGCTCGAATCGCGTGTGGAGTGTTCATTTATACCATCACTTTGAATTCATCACTTTTCAAGGTCAAATTCACCACTCTTTTTAGACCGGCAGTTCACCAACCAGATCACGCCAGACACCACTGCGAACCCTGCCCCGACGGTCACGCCTACTTGTCAGCGCGGACATAGATTTTCAACACATGACTGACTCCGCCCATTCTTTAAAGTTTGTTGCGAACTTCAAATCTTCATAACTTTTTCAATTTTTAATTTCACATCCACTCTTCGCACAACGAAGGTACTCGTAGACGCGCATTCATGCACCGGCAATTCAGGCTCCGCCCCCTTGGCCACGCCCACTTGCTTTTTGCGGAATTTTGATATTTTTTTCAGAATTTTCGCATTACTGCTCCAGGCTCCACCCACTTTGAAGAAGCCCCGCCCACTTTTCGAAAATGGTGCAATCGGCAGTATAGAGTCTTGGCTTGCATGCTAGGGTCTCGTCCGTCACTCGGAACAAACTTTGCCTGATTAATTTGTTCCGAGTGACGGAGACCCTAGCATGCAAGCCAAGGCTCTATACTGCCGATTGCACCATTTTTGAAAAGTGGGCGGGGCTTCGTGGAGCAGTCCAAAAATGCAAAAATTTTGAAAAATATCAAAATTCCGCAAAAAGCAAGTGGGCGTGGCCAAGGGGCGGAGCCTGAATTGCCGAATGCGCGTCTACGAGTACTTTCGTTGCACAAAGAGTGGTATGTGAAATAAAAGTTGAAAAGTTATGAAATTTCGAAGTTCGCAACAAACCCTTTCAAAGACTGGGCGGAGTCGGCCATGTGTTGAAAATCTATGTCCGCGCTGACAAGTAGGCGTGACCGTCGGGCAGGGTTCGCAGTGGTGTCTGGCGTGATCTGGTTGGTGAACTGCCCGGTCTAAAAAGAGTGGTGAATTTGATTTGAAAAGTGGTGAATTTGGTTTGAAAAGTGGTGAATTTGGTTTGAAAAGTGGTGAATTTGGTTTGAAAAGTGGTGAATTTAAAGTGAAAATGGGTATATATACATTTCCACTTTAAATTCACCCTTTTTCAAACCAAATTCACCCTTTTTCAAACCAAATTCGTCCTTTTTCAAACCAAATTCACCCCTTTTCAAACCAAATTCACCCTCACTTTTCATCAAGACCACACTTATTAGGGCGGGCAACTCATCAACCAGATCACAGACATCAGACATCACTGCGAGCCCCGCCCCGACGGCCACGCCCACTTGTCAGCGCGGACATAGATTCTCAAATCTTGTTTCATAACTTCTGCTTTTGCTGTTTCCCACGAACACTTTGACTGCAAACCACCGTGCATTCACACATGGCCCACTCCGCCCCTTCTCTAAGGGCTTTGGCAATCTAGACTCCGCCCCCTTGACCACGCCCACTGGTTTTTCGCGGCATTTTGGTATTTTTTGAAAATTGTTGCATTTCAGAGCTGTTGCGTGAAGCCCCGCCCACTGTGAGAGGCTCCGCCTACTTTGGAAAAGCCCCGCCCCCTTTCGAAAAATGCTTCAGTTTAGTAGGTTAGAGTCACGATTGGTAGGCCAGAGTCTCACACGGGATCGCTCAGTACAAAAAAACCAGGCAAGATTGTATTCCGAATGAACACGCAACACTCTGAGCTGTATTGACAATCCAGCGGCTAATTCGGGGCATTTTGCCACCGACTTCAGGGCGATGCTTATGCAAAGTGGGCGGGGTCTCCAACAGTGGGAGGAGCTATTATGGGCACCTCAGGAAGGTGGCAAGGTTGAAAAATAATAAAAAACCAATATCCACGAGTAGTGAAGAAAACGTCATTTCAGTGGATTCGCATAAATTCTATTGGTGTGGACATGGATAACGAAGTGAAGCTGTTTGTCAGTGCGTTCTTTGCCATTTCGAATTAAGCACTTTTTGAACTAGATTGAACAAACTGTACAAGTGTGTGAGCAATGTTGGATGCCGAGGTTACTCCTGCGGCGAGATTTTGTGCATAGCCAGTGCACTTGGGTTCGACCTCACGGCAGCAGATACAATATCCTCGAGTAGCGAAGAAAACGTTATTTCAATGGAACGCGGACGCTACAAGAAAACGACATCGGCGCAGAAGGATATTCTCGTCAGACTTGTGCAAGTAGAAGGAAGATCGATCTGCGAGGCTGCACAAGTTGCTGGTGTCAACGAAAATACAGCAAAGAGCGTTGTCCGTGCTTACAGAAGAGAAGGTGAGGTCATCGAGCGCCGCCGTGGAGGAAACAACAGGGTGAATTGACCGGCCCCTTGAGTTGGCCGTGTCCACGATCTTCATGCGCTAGTGAAGTTAAGAATCACGCTGAAGAAATGCCACTACGAGCTCGATCGCGTAAATAGTGAGGCGACGATTGCAAGTCGTCGGCAGGCTTACGCTCTTGACTTTTTAGCAAAGCGCCGCAGGAGGAGGAGAAGTGGATTCTTCATCGAATGAAGTGGTTTTTAACCTTCACCTGGAGGACACAACTCGCTCGAGAGAGGAACGCGGGTGAACGTTGTGCTGCCAACGGTCAGAGGAAGAATGTTGACGCTTATTGTGGCGATGAACAGTCAAGGCGTCGTTCACACCAAGCTCATAAGTGATGGGACCTGCAATGGTGTCAAGTTTTGTGCATTCGGATAGAAAATTGTAGCTCTTATGCGTGATAGGGAGGAGATGGATGGTGCCTGGCTGGTTATGGATAACGCTAGAATCCATAAGACGAGTGAGCTGAGAGGGATTTTGGACGGCACACCGTACCACCTAAAATTCCTTTCCCCTTATTCTTACATGCTCAATCCGTGCGAGAACGTTTTCTCAAAGGTGAAGGCGTCGGCAAAGCGTCTGCTGAGTAACCCGACGGTCGAGCAGACGCTGAACACGGTTATTCAGGATAACGCGTTGGAGCAGGTGCAACAGCACCAGTACTGCGCGAACTACGTCAACCATATGGTTGTGAACCTGACCACAGCAGCTGCCGGACAACCTTTTAACACATGACTGTTTCTGCTTTACCTCACACCGTTTCATTTTGTTGGCATACATGTCATAATCTGAAGTGCTATTTCTGTTGAGTAGTTGTTGAAACCTTTGTTATTTTTTGTATAACAAGATCACTACTAGTATTTCTACTATGTATACCGACGAATAAAGCTCCACCTCAAACATTTCTCTCCCTTATCCACGTCCATCTTGAGATAGTTGGATTGTCAATAGCAGCTCAGAGTGTTGCTTGTCATTCGGAAGCCATCTGCCTGTTTTTTATTGTTCCGAGCGACGTGTGAGACTCTGGCCTACCAATCGTGACTCTAACCTACTAAACTGAAGCATTTTTCGAAAGGGGGCGGGGCTTTTCAAAGTGGGCGGAGCCTCTCACAGTGGGCGGGGCTTCACGCAGCAGCCCTAAAATGCAAAAATTTTGAAAAAATATCAAAATTCCGCGAAAAGCAAGTGGGCGTGGTCAAGGGGGCGGAGCCTAGATTGCCAAACCCTTTAGAGAATGGGCGGAGTCGGCCATGTGTGAATGCACGGTGGTTTCCAGTCAAAGTGTTTGTGGGAAACAGCAAAAGCAGAAGTTATGAAACAAGATTTGAGAATCTATGTCCGCGCTGACAAGTGGGCGTGGCCGTCGGGGCGGGGCTCGCAGTGATGTCTGGCGTGATCTGGTTGATGAGTTGCCCGCCCTAATAAGTGTGGTTAACTTGATGAAAAGTGAGGGTGAATTTGGTTTGAAAAGGGGTGAATTTGGTTTGAAAAAGGGTGAATTTGGTTTGAAAAAGGGTGAATTTGGTTTGAAAAAGGGTGAATTTGGTTTGAAAAAGGGTGAATTTAAAGTGAAAATGGTATATATGCACTCCAAGTGCGCTACCCGAATCTTATAAAAGCACCGCTGTTCAAAATTATCGCAGTATCTGTGGGGCTACATTTGCATGTGCTTTTATCTACAACTGTATCGATTTGCACTTCGAATAATTTTACGTTTTTATGCAGATCAAAGAACGTCGGAAGTCGCTGGGAGCCATGCTGGACCCATCCGAATTGGAGCACATGTATTTGGAGAGCGATCGCTTCTGGGGAGATACTGTAATTTATTCCAAAAGTACTGTTACCGGGAGTCAGGAAATCGACATATGTTTGCGATATCATCTGTCAAGAGTGATAAAATGTTTACAGGTATGATTAACGCTCCTTTTCTTCGTCCATTGGGAGCAATGCATATTGCGACGAGAATAATCAGCTAAACATTGTGAACAATTTAGATTCTGGAAAATTTCCCAACCGAATGCCCACTACTGTGGAAACACGGTGAAATATTGAAGAAATTGGAATTGGAATATATGACATTGGATCATTTATTACGACTGACAAAAACTGTACCGGTTGTAGCGAATATCACAAGCGGTGAGGAAGATTTCAAAGTTCCAGAATTTCTCACTTTCTCTTGGACATCGCACTGGATGTTAGCAACGAGGATCCTCGTCGAGAAGAATGGTTCTTGACCCATTGCGGTTCTGTCTCTTACGTTAATACTTTTTAGTTTTGTCGGGAATCGGCGTCGATTCATCACTGCAAGAAATCTGGTTTTCTGCCTGTTACCCGTCCCACTCCCAGCTGCTCGTCTTCAAAGATGACCTTCGAACTCAAGTGAAGTTGAACATAGCCCATATTGTCGAGCAAAATTATCCACATCTCGTCAATAGGGGTAAGTTCACACGATGAGTTACCCATTTTTTTTCCAATTTGTTAACAATGTATCTAGTCACCTGGCACACGAACCTATTTGAAGCTCACGGTGTTCAGCAAACAGTTTTACATTGGCTTCTTCTAATTTCTTAGAACTTGAGTATGCCATTTGCTCATGCTACTTTCGACCCACTCTCCCATAT